CAGCAGCAGTAGTAGTAGTAGTAGTATGAGTAATAGTAGTAGTAGTAGTAGTAGTAGTAGTAGTAGTAGTTTTTGTCACCCACTTGGCACGTAGTAGTAGTAGTAGTAGTAGTAGTAGTAGTAGTAGTAGTATGAGTAATAGTAGTAGTAGTAGTCGTAGTAGTAGTAGTAGTAGTAGTAGTAGCAGTAGTAGTCGTAGCAGTAGTAGTAGTAGTAGCAGCAGTAGTAGTAGTAGTAGTAGTAGTCGTCGTTTTTGCCTCCTGCATGGCTGAGCGAGTCGCGAAGCAGGGTAACTGACAGATGCAGGTAAATTCGGCACTCTGACTCTCGTATTAAAAGTGCACAGTCCGCATAAGATCATCTTGTACTGTGATGTAACACACCTGTTTTTTTGGCAAAATGCCAGATCACGTGACATTTCGTCACTTGGTCCCTATAAAGACAACAATTACAAATTACCAATTACAAATTTTGGCAACGAATGTAGTCAGGCGCAGCATGCATTCGATCTCCCATCAGCGAGCACAGTCATGTGCTTCTTCATGTTGTTTTGTGGGTCACTCAAACAGACAGTGTAGCAGTCGCGCGAGGCATGCCAGAAACGTGTGAACATATGCAGCGTCAAGCGCACGAGGCATGCCAGAAACGTGTGAACACAACCAGCGTCAGTACTACTTTTCGCAGACAAAGTTACGGTTTTTTATTGTTGTAGTAGTAGTAGCAGTAGTCGTAGTAGTCGTAGTAGCAGCAGCCGTAGTAGTTGTTGTTGTTGTAGCAGTAGTAGTAACTAGCAGTAGTAGCAGCAGCAGTAGTCGTCGCCGTCGTCGTCGGCGGCTGACCACGGCGCAAGAACAGCGTTAAACCACCAGCTAGGAAAACTGGTGCTCTATACTGATGCTTGGCAAAGTAAACAGAGCCCATAGCTGAGACCCGGAGGCTGCAGCAAAAGGCCGGCAGCCACAGCGATGGCAGGAATCGCCAAAAATAGCTAACAAAAACAATAGCCGCAACAACCATGCATGCCTGCAGCTTCCATCGTCTGCAAGAAGGAAAGTAGAAACATCAAGCCAAGTATCTTGTTGTCAATCATGTGCTTTGCATGAGCCTGGCTGTGAAACGGAAGTGTTGTTAATCAGCAATTGCATCATTTTCCTACACTGGCTGCAGATCTTACAATTCGCCTGTGAATCTTTATGGTGCCGTATTCGTACAGTCGCGGCTGTTACCACCAGTCTACCGGTGGTGCCGTTCCTGTTGGTCTTTTGTAGTTTTCTAATTGCTCTGACTTCCCGCATTGCTATGTTAGACTTATTCCATTTGGTACGAGCTCTGCGCATGATTGGATCTAACACGCTGTTAAGCCTGTTAAGATGATGTTCCTGCTGTTGCTGGTGTGCTTGACTGTACTGCTACGCTTCTCCTTCTGCTACCCATACTACCATACCGACCATACCAGTATTGGTGCTCCTGCTCGTGCTCGCGCTTGCTCGTGTTGCGGCTGCTGCTGCCACTGCTGCTGCATGCACCTGCTGCTTCTGCTGGTGCCGCTGGTGTGAGAGCACTACGACAACAATACTGCCACTGCTGGTATGGCTAGCTACCTGTAAGGTGAAAGCAGTGCTTCTCGTCTGCGCAGCTCTGAATACCAAATTTTTCGTGGCCCTGCTAGCTCTGATCCACCACAGGTACGAAGATGAACCTCTGCATGTACGCCGTGTTCCCGATGTCTGACCACGTTCCAGAAAGTGCAACACAGCCACACGAACAGCAAAAATCTAGAAAGGAACCCCTACAGCAGAGTCGAGAATAAAGTGCAAAGAAGGCGAAGCCCGAAACCCGCAAATATCTGCGCCTCGATGACCTTGTCCACTGCCTCTGTGTCGGCAAACCTCGGGTCTGTCTTTTGGGATCTCGATCCCGTCCAGACCCTTATCGGTGGATTTGCTTCTGCATCGGTTTGCCCATTGATTCATCTTCACAATTATGATTAGTATAGCGATGGTTGCTATCAGCACTATTATTGCTACGGTGATCATCCTTGAAGCTTGGCTACTGGTATTGTTCTTAATTATTTGATTATCATAATAATAACAATGGATGTATAATTATCAGCAGCGGTAGATGCACCAGCAGCAGCAGAAGGCGTAGTGGTAGTTTTTGTCACCCACCTGGAATGCTGATGACAGTATTGTAGTAGTAGTTCGTAGGAGTGGCGGTAGTAGTAGCAGCACCAGCTGCAGCAGTAGTAGTAGTAGTAGCAGCAGTAGTAGTAGCAGTAGTAGTAGGAGTAGTAGGAGCATTAGTAGGAGTAGGAGCGGGAGAAGCAGCAGCAGTAGTAGCAGTTCTGAGTACGATTATGAATATGATCATCATTGTTTATGTTAGCATCACTATTGTTATCAGTGCTGTTGCTGCTGTTGTTGGCAGTAGGAACACTATGACTGTTGTTACGACGCTTGTTCACAGTGATAGTCGTGATCGTCGTGGTGGTGGTGGTGGTGTTGTGGTGGTGGTGTGGTGGTGGTGGTGTGGTGGCGGTGTGGTGGTGTGGTGGTGTGATGTGAAGGTCGCCGACTCCCACGTCGTCGTCGTCGTCGTCGGGGTGAGTGAGTGAGTAGTGGTGGTAGTGGTTGTGGAACTACCAAACTAGTAGTTGTTGTTGTTGTGGTGGGCAGTACTAGAGGTAGTAGTAGTAGTAGTAGTAGTAGTAGTAGTCGTAGTAGTAGGAGGAGGAGTAGTAGTAGTAGCAGCAGCAGCAGCAGTAGTAGTAGTAGTAGTAGTCGCCCTCCCCCTCCCAACTACCTCTGCTACGAACCCTCTTAAGAGCACATCCGTTTTACTCAGTATTTACATTACGCTCGTCGTGTCATACCACTTCTTCTTGCCTCAAAATCCACTCCTGGATTGTGGAAAATTTGGGCTTCGGATTGGGGTTGGGGGGGTTGTGGGTTGGGGGGATGATGACCACATTGTTACACAGACACACAGAACAGTGTCCCCACGAGAGCCGATTTACTCGGTATTTACAGTACTTTCGTGATTCCATAGACCTTGACTTATCCAGCCTTTGTGACGTCTTGTCCCGTTACTTGTCCGACCTGAGTGCAGGTGCCCTTCTCTTCGTTGTTCAGCTGGGAAGCCGAGGCCCCCCACCGAAGTTGAGGCCCGCACTTCTGGGGTTTCACAAGGCTGTATACGCGGCTTGATCAAGGTGTATACGGTTTTCACGGGTTCTGTTAGGGTTCGATTGCAGATTCATGTTTTGCTTGGAAGTGCGGGTTGTGTGGTTTATGTGGGAGTTTCGGATTTGGTTGTTTATTTGGGGTGTGGAGAGAGGTTTATTCTGGGTTTGAAGTTCAGTGTTCATGTGGGATTTGGTGTCTATTTACTCATGCGTGGTTAGGGTCGCCTTCATGAATTCAGGGTTTAGGTGAGTTGGGGCCATCCTGTAGCGCAACGACGTCTAGTTTCGGAATAAGCTTTCAGACCTAAGGTGGAAGCAGTCCGCTACAAAGAGGGCCCCGGGCCCCGAACAAAGCCCACCAGACAACGCATAGACGCACTTCGCAAGGTTGTGCATGGCCTTTGGGCCCTTCCAGGCTTCGGGCTACGGTTCTTATTAGTGGTGACAGTGGCAGTGGCAGTAGGAGTATGAGCACCGCACTTCGCCGTGTGCTTCTGGGCGGCAGTGGGTGGGTGGGTGGGTGGGTGGGTGGGTGGGTGCGTGTGTGGGTGGGTGGGCGGGTAGGTGGGTAGGTACCTAGACAGGAAGGTAGGAATGTTTGTATTTATGTAGGTATGAATGCACGTACACATGCAAGCATGCATGCATGCATGCACTTTCCGTGTTTCACCCGTCCGTCTTTGTGTGTCTGTTGAAGTGAGGGTAGGCTTATGTCGCAGGCAAGTATGGTGCACTCAAGCTGACACAACTAGGTGCTGTCTGCTGGCAGGAGACGGTTGTGGCGTGCAGCGCAGCCGCTTTCCTAGCTTGCAGGTTCGCAAGAGATTTCGGAGATTGGCGTAAGGAACAGGTTGCTGCATGCGCCGAAAACCGAGGCCATGGCCTGTTGCAAGCAGCGCTGGCGGAGGATGCTGTCACTGCTGCGGTCCATGCGGGGATCTGAAGCAAAAAGGGATCTCAAAACAAGGGAGGGGAGGGGGCCATGGGCCATCGGATCTGCCGCTCTTGCCGAGAGTTCGGCGGAGAGTCGCCCAGGCCTTGGAGGCAGGTGGAGCCCAACGTGGTCAGCTTTGGTGCCCCCCGCGGGGGGGGGGGCCCCGGCAAGCCTCGAAGCGACGCGCCGAAGCCGAAGCCCTCGAAGCTACTCAGCTTGCCACGTAAAAACCCAGGTACTGCGCTCAACGTCTGCGAGAAGGGCCTCTCCTGGCCCTCGTCGATGGCTCGAGCCCCAGATTGGTCTTAGCTCTCAGCTGACAGCATGCAGAGAGCGTGGGGACATGTGGAGACAAGTCTGCGAAGGGTGCTGAAAGCAAGCCTGACCAGCAGATACACATCAGATGGCTTCAGCTTTCCTCAGAAGTTTTCTGCAGGAACTGCTGGGTGCAGCACGCAGCCGGGGCGTCCCGCCCACAACGGCCACACGGTCTCAAGGCTTCTAGTGATACAGTAGTACAGTCTGGTTGTCTTGCTAATCTGCTGCTTGAGGTGCTTTGCCGGCAGAAGGCTACCGTGTGTTGGAGGTAAGGTCAAAGGCCAATGCCAAGCCCAGGTGACCGTCAACGCGGCCATCTCTGTTTGTGGCAAGTTCCGCACATGGGAGGCGAGTGTCAGCTCCACCTCACACAGCTTTGCACTGCTAGCCATGGCGCACAGGTCGCAATCCTAAGCGTCAGTGTCACTTCATTCGCGCTCGCGTCGCTCTCGTGTCTTTCGGACTGCAGGTTCGGAGTTGTGAGTGCAGGTTGTTGGGCAAAGTCCTCCCAAGCCTGGCACGGCCTTCGCTCACGGTCTATTCGGGGTCGACGAAAAATAGATCGAAAGGAGTTCCGCAAGATGGTTCTTACGTGGAGCATGCGTCGCCTTACACTGCACTGCGAGGGTGCACTTCTTAGACGAAAGTAGTCCCTGCGCCATCCCATGTTTGAACGCGGAGTCGGAACACGCGGCGTTTTTGCCGCTTAGCGCTCAACGTTATGAGCGACAAGATGGGCGACATAGGTTGAACATGTTTCGGCGTGGCCAAGAGGACTTCCGGTGTCGAAGTGTGTTGAAGCTCACAAGGCAAGGAGAGGCCAAAGGGGCGGCTTTGTGCCGAGACGAGGCCTCGTCGGAGCTGCTCCGAAGCCTGCGGCGCTCGCGGGATGAGGCTACGGCCACGGCCGCGGGGTGCTGAGAATGTAGAGGATGGGGGCAGAGCACTCTACCGCAATTCAGCGTCCCACAGTGCAGGAGCAAACTGCGGTTTGGAGTTTGGGTTTGGCCAAGATGAGCGTTTCATCTGAAAGGTTCTGCCGGTTGTACCTGGGTAGTTTTGACTGCCTTATTTTGTGGACTCCGCACATTTTCGTGTCGCCCTGCCATGAGTGCAGGCATTGCCTCGTCAGAACATGTGCCAGCTGTCGAGGTGTCGATGGGAGCAGCCATTGGATCCTTGCGCGTGCCAGGCAGTCCCGGTCTTGCTGCAGTTCGGTGATTCCCATCAGATGAGGAAAGACACTCTGCGTGCGATTCCTTGAGAAACGAGGGTCAGGTTGCACAACGGAGCGGATGAGATTGAGAAAAGGATGAAGAGCAGACTGCCGCCCGGTAGTTACCCGAGCAGAGTCGCCCTGAGTTCCTCGGGCCTTCTCCCAAGCCACGTAGCCGCGACGTAGCCTCCAAACGCCCCGAGCTCTCTTCAATCGTCGAGGTGGCTGGCCGCGTGCACTGAAGCTTCTTGAAGGCGGAGCTCTGCGCGGCTCTGCGGAGCTCTGCGATGTCAACGTCCCTTCGCCACTTCGGCAGGCCTTCGAGCCGCCGCCCTGAGGCCGATGACGAGCACTGTGCCGGGGGTCCAAGCCGAAGAGCAGCTCTGTACACTTTCAGAGAGAAGCCACGTGGGATTTGATTTGGGCTGCCAGGAACAGCGCAGTGGCGGCGGGAGGCCCCGCTGGCTGGCGCTGGGCCCTTCAGCTTCTGGGCCTCCGCCCCAACGGAAAAAGGGGGGTGCATGTCCTGGCATTTCCATCAGATGGCCCATGCATGGGGCGAGTTCTTTTAGGCCTCCGTGGCCAGAGCAAAGACAATCTGGGCATGGCGGCTGCAGCGACAGCAATCGCCGCGGGTGCTTCGGCCGTGCCTTGCAATCCGTGATGCTCACGAGAGCAATGTTGAAAACGCATGTGCCCATGACCTGGCAGATCTGAAGCCGGTCTGCGACGTTGCGGAGGAGGTGCACTGATCTGCTGATCGGTTTGGGGCTTCGGGCTCTTCCTTGCCTCGCTTGAAAGATTGAGGCTCTCGGCTCAGGTGGCTTGCTTGACGGTGTCGCCTGGCGGTTGCTGTGTGGACATGAAGCAATCGCCAGGAAGGTGCGGTCGCGGCTTTGAAGTCTCTGGTCCTCGAGCTTGCGGGAAGTGCAGAGGCACGTGCTTTGTAGGAACGGACAGACGACTCCCTCTCCCTCCTTTTCTCTCTTTGAGCTGCATATATCTGCATGTGTGCACTGCTGCCAGGCTCCGGGTGTGATCGCAGATGCCATGAAAGGCTTAGGCCCTCTTCTCAGGCAAGGGAGGACGTTGCTCTGCTAGCAGCGACTTTGTGCAAGCTCCCTCAGGCTCCAGACATTCACTCCGACGGGCTTTCTCGGAGTTCTTGAAAGATCCCGTGTGTCTTTGCATACCAAGGGCGTGCTGGCCGATGGCGGATGGCCGTCGGTTTGCTGTTGGAGGTGGGCGAGGCGCGGCTTTGGGAGCCACCGCAGTTGTTCTGGCTCTGACGGAGTTTCACCTCGGAGGCATCTTCCCGGTCGCGGACAAAGGTGGGCCGCACCTGGAGAGGCCTCAGCTCTCTGGTCAGCCTCACATTTTTGGAGCCGAGCAGCCGAGCATGCTGCGATGGGCTGAAGGAGCTGACCTCGCGGCGCTTCTCTGGAGCCAGGCGACCTACTCCACCGAGGCGGGGAGCCTAGGAGCCTGCATTTCCACAAGCTGAGCCGCACATGCCGCGTGCCAGGCCTCTCAGCGGCCGGGCTCTTGGCTCCTCCCCAAGGAGCCGCCAGAGCCTCCTTCTTTTGCTTCTGTGGTCTGAGAAGCGCTTCGCTTGAACGAGGAGCTGACTCCAGAGGAGGCCGTGCAGCACTGCATTCCGATCTGATTCGCAGTTCAGCCTGCAGTCATCTGCAGTCATCTGCAGTCGCTGCCGTCGGCGTGGCAAAGGGAGCAAAAGCAAGCGCACGATGGGGATGTGTGCAGATGGCTGTGGGCCTTGCTTGCTTTGATTTGCGGTGCCTCGGCCATCTTGGAGTTCCAACATTACGGGCACCCGGTGAATGTCAGAAAGAATGGCCTTTGTCACCTTTAGAATGCAATGCCCCGCGAGCAGCGCACGTCGGCGCTGCCCCAGGAGGCCTCGCTGCCACGGTTAGGACTGCCGACATGGTCAACGCTAGCACCGAACATATGACGCATCGGCAACACAGCCCCTCCTGCCATGAAAGGAGTGCATGCAGTAGGTTGTAGCTAAGCCCTTCGGCTTGTGCTCAGCGGACGCTGCCGACACGGCCGAGGCCTTAGTGAAGGATGAGCTGTGTGCAGGTCGCTAGGGCTCGCTAGGGCTCGCTAGGATTGTGCGTCTGTTCGCAGCACCGAAGCTGAAAGCAGTCTGAGGACTCCCATGCTTGGCAACCGGAAGCCGTGGCCGGACTGGCGCAGGAAAAGAGCGAGAGGCCCCCGGCCCCGCTAGCCCAAGCTGAGGGGCGTTTGCAATGTCTTGGCTGTGAGGTGGAGGCCGGCCCAAAACCGTCGAACCCCGAGTCTGCAAAGAAGAAGAAGGAGACTGGGAGGAGGAAGAGGCCGGAGGGGGAATGTATGGGATTGTCTTGAGATGGGGTCTTTTGAACATGTCTTTACCTATGTAGTGCACTGTTTTGGTGTTCTTTCTCTTCTCTTCCTCTCTCCTTGCTCTCATGCCTCTTTGCACCTTTCGTTTCGTCAATGGGCCGCTCTCCTCTTCTCCGGCTCGAAAGGTCAACCAGTGCTCGTCATTTGCGCTGTCCCCCTTCGTTGCAAGCGGTGGTCGTTCTGGTGTTGGAGCATTGTTTTGAGACCTTGGTGGTTTCGCTGACCTTTCTGCGCCCCCGCAACAAGTCAGAACAGAGCACGCTGGAGTGCTAGAGCCCCCCTAAATCCCTAAACCGGAACGGAACCCCCTCTTCCTGAGCGCAAGCCCCAAACCACAAAAGCAAACCTCAGCCCCCTCTGGGGAAGCTCTGCCCAGGCCGAGGACCCGGGGTCCGCCGACTGGTGGCCGCCCTTTCAGCCGCGGCAACCGCGGCCGCCACCAGGTCCTCCGCCAGGAGCGGTTGACAGGGGGTTCTACAACAACACACACACACACACATGTATCTATCTATCTATCTATCTATCTATCTATCTATCTATCTATCTCTCTCTATCAAAAAACGTGTGTGTGTGTAGATTCACACACACACACACACGCACGCATCTGTGTGTACTGCTGTTTTGCAGCTTGTCTCGACAGATCGATGGGCAAGCTGGGACGATGGAGACTGCGAGCCAGAGTCCGCGCCGTCCACACCTAGTCGCCAGGGCCTCGACTCACGAGCTGGGCTTTGGTTTCAGAACGCTTGCGAGCTTCGAAGCTGCTTTCGCTTTTTCTGTTCTTCTTCTGCCGGCCTTTCAAACTCGCCGAAGCTTGATTGAAAGCCCATACCTCGACCTTCCGCCCAGTGGCTTCCCAAAGCACTTCAGCGACGAGCCTGCCCGCCGTCAGGGGCCTCGGCATTCGGTTCCAGATAGTTCCAGGGACGTTTGCGACTGAAAACAAAATGCATATAAATGCTGGGATGTGAGGATGGCCTCTTTGAGGCCATCGCTCACAGAGTCTGTGCGGATGTAAAATGTGGTGCTTGCTTTGCCCGATCGAGTATTGTTTTTTGCAGGAACCTGTCCATCAAAGCACGTAAGGCCAAGCCTGAGCTGGGCGACAGCTCTTCGAGCGAGGATGAGCTAGGCTCGTACTTTCACGCTGGCCTCCCATCTCATGCAACCTTCCGTATCAAGCTTGGGAGCCTTTCACCTGCAGACCGTGCTTGACCCCTAGAGACCCAAAAGAGGTGCATGCTTCTCTTTCCCCACAGGGCAGTACCTGGCCCTCCTGAACAAGGGGCCCCCGAAGCCCAAGAAGATGCCGAAGCCGAAGCAGAGGCCCGCTGGGAGTCTCGGGTCGGGGGACCCCCAAAGCTCCCCGTTCTCAGCTCAGGCCGCCGGTCTCGGGCGCCTCTGTGGCCACATCGAAGTATCCGCCACCGAAGCGAGGCCCAACTCCAATGGCAACTTGGCTCAGAAGCCCTAAGAACCCGAGTACCCCTATACCCAAAACCCTAAAGCTTTGAAAGCACTCAAAGTGCGAAAGCCTTCAACAGTTTTTGCCACTGCTTGATATAATATACTCTGTGTCACCATGCTCTGTTATGTTCCGTGAGTTTTTAAAGAGAACTAAATTATTGTAAACAAAATGCTTCACTGCGAACAGAGTGCTGAGGCGCCTCCAGATGCTCCGGAGGCGCCAAAACGGCTGCGCCTCGAGGCCAAGGCGGCGAGGGTCGGGTGGGGAGGGGAAGGGATGCTGCAGTGGAGGGGTTCTAGAAGGGTTCCGGAACTTACAGTTCTTGTCTGAGCCAAGCATTTGCCTTGCATTTTCCGGGGGGTTCTTAGAACCAAAGCGGAGCCGAGGTTGAGCGGACGTAATTGAAGTCGAAGAATTTAAACAAGGTGCAGGTGAGGCTTGGGGAGAAAAAGTATGAAAAGAAGCGGGGGCCAAGCAGAGCCAGGAGCCCGAGAAACGGACCATCATCCGGCCCAGCACGAAGGCCGCTTTTTATGTGAGCTACGGATCTATCGAGAGACTCTGCATCCTTTTAGCTCACTTCTGAAGGAATCTGTAGACATCTATGGACGTCTGGCAGGCGGGACCAAAACCCCTTCCCACTTCGGCGAAGGCGCCAATGGCGCCGGCGCCTCCTGTGGTGCCGTCTCCGATCCGACCCCCTCTGGTCTCGGCGCCAGTCCAGGCAAGTTTCGGTTGAATGTCGATAGGCCGCTGAAGCTCGAGCCGGAACCCTCTGCATCCCCGAGTGCGCAGGTCACGCCTGCCAACAACCTTCGCATAGGCCAGGCCCATCATGTGCAAGTTGCAGCAATGTGGAATGAGACCCGGCAGGACGGCCACTAAGACTCCCTCTAAGAGCCAAGCTCCGACTTCCACTGCGACACAGAGCTATGTTGCAAGCACGGGTCACCGCACCATCGCTCTCGAGAGGCCGTGCCAGAACGAGCGTCCCCGTCGTGCCGCCGCGTGGGCAGCCGCGACGGACGCGCGAAACCTCCACAGGGTCTCGGGCTGAAGAGTCGTCCTGCGAGAGGGTCTCACAAATTTGAGAAATTGGGGAGGCCACTTGTCCTTTGTGCTTTGCATCTAAGCGACTACAGCATGTATATGTCAGTATGATGTTGCACCTTCTTTCCTTCATCAACGAGCTTCCAGTGTTTCCGGGGCTCTTTTGCGATGTTTGTGTCTGACGATGCCCGTGGCTACCAGGGAGACGAACTGCGCTTCAGACTTCGAAGGTCTTCAGTTGGACCTCGGCTTCCATCTAGGGAGACTCGAGCTCCTGCAGAGGGTCCCAATGTTTAGACAGTCAGAGCTTTCCGCGTTGGTGAGATCCTGTGCGCCCTCCAAGCCAGTCCGGAACCCCAAAGCCTAAAAATCCCTACAGCTCCGCAAGCACGACATAGCCAGTGCAGGTTGATGGTGGATCCCCCTCCGATTAGCGAGCTGCGAGACTCGCGGTGCCTCCGAAAAAACATGGGGGCGCCCAGCTTTCAGGGGTGCAAGGGCTTCATTTCTCCATACTCTGACGCAGAGGTCAGGGGGCCGGTAGTTTCATGGCTGGAGCAGGACAGCGTGGTTTGAAGTCACTTTTCTCAATTACTTCAGCCCTCGCACCGAATTGAGGGCCCATCCTGGTTTTGCAGCACAGCATCTGAAAGCATTTCCGGCCAAGGCCATGTCCGTTTCCGGGCCCTCCGCCAGTGGAGGCGAGGTGATGTTGAGGGCTGGTAAAACATAGAGTGAATGTGCACGGCGACTCCGAAGAGATCGACCCGATGTTTTCATATAGGGGAGAAGCTGCCCAGAAAGCGCTCCTGACCTGGGGCGCGTGAAAATCAGGATCCTCCGTATTGGGCTCTGCAGCAGCCGCTCCTGAAGCTGGGCAGATCCAGCCAATGCTTGTGCTCAGATTTGGTTTGGATTCGGATTTCGGGCAGAAGGGTTGGGAGTGCACAGAACAAAAACGAGCCTTCAAATCTTTCCCTTAGCAACATCCTTCACGCTCTTTTCCTTCAGGAACTCGCAGCTTCTGCTTCCACCATCGCACCTGCCGCTGGCTCTGCCAGCGCCGCCACCGCCTCCGCCCTTGGATTCCCAGCCCGAGACGCTTGGAAAGGGATTCAAGTGATTGGGAGCTGGGAGGCTTCTCCAGAGCGGAGCTCCAGGGCAGACCTGCAAATAGTCAGAGGAGTAGCTCCGTGCAGCACAACGACGCGCCCTCCACGAACCTGGAACTTGAGCCAAGGAGCCTCGCTCCAGCTCCAATGACGGATGCACTGGCACTTTGCGAGCCATCCTCAGGTGCTAGGGCCTTCCTGTCAGCAGCAGGGTGAGGAGGGCTTACCGGGATGTGCAACATTTGGTGTGCAGGTGACGGAATAATCTCAATCGACATCGACGAAGACGCTATAGCTGTGGCGAACGTGCTGCAGCAGGTGCCTGTGCGCAACCAAACCCTTGCTAATCAACCAAAAAATGCGACTTCGTGCCGAAGGCAGTGAGTCTTCTACAGTCTGCCATCTGACAGTTCTTGGGAATGGTTTTCGATGTTTCCGTGTCTCGTGGAAACATCCCAAAACTCGGGAACCGAACTCCTTCACCGCCCCGCCCACGCGAGGACTCTCAGCATGCGGAGTTTTACGAAGTTCTGAAGGCCCAGAAAGCAGTCCCTGTGTGTGGCAGATTGTCTTGCACTTGACCTCGTCCCATGCTTTTGGAGCGTCACTGCTTTGGCCCACGGCAGGAGTTTCAGCGAAAGGCCGCGCACGTTCTAAAGGGCGGGGGCCTCGGGATCTTGAGCCGGCTGCCATCAAAAGCCGAAGAGCACATGACCGCAGTCGCAGTGAGGCTCACATGCGCAGGCGTAAGTGCCTAGAACATTACACCAGGGTCCGAGTTCTTAGTAATGCCTCCCAGGTTCGCATGCGCCGGTCTGCATCGATGTCCGCCTCGGCGGCCAAATCACCGACCTGCCGGACTTGGCACTAGGCACCTTTTGAGCTGTGAGGGGCATGGTTGCAAGCTTGGGATGAACTTGGCTTTGCACTTTAAATTCTGAGTAGCAGGAGTGTGAGTGTGTGTGTGTGTGTTACAGGCGATCAGATCGCGTAGCTGCTCGGGCGAGGGTTTGGGTGGAGTTCCTTGACAGGCGCGCCCTCTGCGCCCTCCATGCCCTCCATGCCCTCTCAGCTGGCTTTGCCCTCCGACACTGGTTCTGGTGATTCTGGTGGCCTGGCAGCGTTCCATGCGTTGGGGGGACTCTGGCATATCGGTCATATTTCCAAGGTCATGAGGGCATATGACCAATATGGCCAGGTGACTTTAATACGTTAAGGGTCGTAGTGCCGAAATTGCACTTTGTAATATTATTTGTCGAATTTTATGTTGTACCGATGAACAAAACGTGCAGAAAACGTAGTATCACGATTACGATTATTCATATTAAATTTGGTCCTCCCTTCGGAGCTGAGGCTACTACGCGAACAATGGCAACTGGAAGGAAGCTTTGCCTTCCTCTTTCGCCAGAGCCCAAGCAGCGACGGCTCAGGCCATACTTAGGTGACCAGGCACAGAAACCCTAAACCCTAAACAGCCTAAACCCTAAACCCTCCTTGGCGCCCAATGTAGGTAGGCAGCTACAGTTCACTCCGCTATGGCTCCAAGGCGGCCGTGCGCATTGTCAACGCTAAAGACGTCCGCTTCTCGCAGAAGTCTATGAAGCGGCGGTTCCAGGAGAGACACTCTAACATGCTGAGGGCCTCGGGCACGATCTCGACCTGTCCCCTATTTGTCAGACATGATTTTATGATCTCAAGACCCCTATCATTGTCGCGAGCGAAGTTGGCACGCCTACTGTTTCACCATGTCCAGGATGGACGCAGCCTGGAGGTGGGGGGAGGGCCTTCGGGTACAGCGATTCTTCATACAGTCCTCGTCGGTCCAAGCCATTCCTGGCAAGCCCTCCTTGGAGTTTGAGCATGCTCATAGTCAGCTCCACCCGTACGCCCCGGTGGTGAGGAGCTGATCCAAGGCCTCATGAGGGGTACCTACAACCCCATGACGGATGAGCTGCCCGGAGTATTTGGGTTCGGGTTGAGGGATCCGAGTGCTCAAGCCGCCCGACCGAATCACGCACTGCCAAGGTTTCTGACGCTGACCGTTGTGGAAAAGTCCGACGCCCAGGGGAACCCTGCCCTGTACTCGAAGGCCCGATGAAGGGGCGAGGGTCCTTCTAAGTGGCTCCCATGTCGTACCTAGGATCAGCTTGATTTTGATTTGCGTCCCTTTCAAAGCACATTCCTTTTGAAGAGATTGGGAAAGTGTAAAGTGTAGCTTCCAAGCTGCCAGGACAATCGGCGGCTCTACTGCCTCCATGAATATCAAAGACGCATATGTGGCCGTGGCAGCATTGGGCTCCTGGCCGCTCTGCGCTAGATAAGCTCGAGTGGAGACGAGGAGAGAGCGGACATTGCAGCGATGCTGCGCCGCGCAGGTTTTAACGGTTTGACCCGATCGATGCTTTCTGAGGTGCTGAAAGGGTGCCTGTGCGGGTCCGTATCCTCGCATGGCAAGACGTGGTCGATGCCTGCAAGTTTCAGAGGCCGCTCAAGCTGTCTAACCCGGCCCCTGCCCTAGCTCAAACTTGCCATGTCCGGACAGGAACTATGACACCGAGCAGGACGGAACTGATATTACGCTTCGAAACTGAGGAGTTGCTGATGAAGGCTTCCGTGTGGATGCGCCCAGAGTTTGGTTTGAGGTCGCATGTGTTTTCATTCTCAGCAAGGCACAACCCATCCTCTGGATTCACAAGTAGTTTACAGGGCTGAGCCAATCGAGAATCCATGACTTCCGGGCATGCCGACTGCCAGATCGCTGTCACCCGCGAAGCCTTTGTCATGCACGCACAGCATGCAAGAGCCGTTCCCGCTTCGAGTCTTCACCCTTCCAACAACTCGGCAAAAGGAGTGCATGAGCTCGCCTTTCATGTCTGAACGAAGGGTGCGACTGGGGGAGCTGCACTTGGATGTTGTCAAGTGGGTGGCTTTCCAAATTGTGGCCCTGTCTCGGGGTTCCCTTTCAAATCTGGTGCCGCTCGTGTGGGTTTAGACATAGGCTACAATTTGGAAGACGACTTATGCGGCGAGAGCGCAAAAGAAGCCATCCGAAGCTCAGACATTCTGGCGAACTCTCACGCTGACAGATGGCCCTGCACCACACCTGCGAGAATAACAGCCCTGTAAGTGACGTTGCCCTCCTAAGTGCAGCGCACCTTGTTGGCAGCTGTTGGGCTCAGCACCCTCCGGGTTTGCCGGGATCGGCTACTTCCCGGTGCAGGTTCCTCAAGGGGGCAGGGCTGAAACATGCTCCCGCTGCTCGAATACCAATTCCAGCTTTAGACAGAGGTGCCACCTTGTCACCTTCATCGTAAGCGGTGAGGGGGAGTTGCAAAGTTGCTGAGACTTCAACGCAAAGGTAGGCAAGAAGAGCGCGACTAAAGATGGCCAGACTCCAACTCATGGTGGAGTTGTAGCTATATAATAGTGGCAGTTCGCGGCAAACTGACAAGCAAATAAGTATTCAGTCTATGTTGGGTTGGCTCAAAGATCAAATCACGTTGACGTACAGAAACATTGATCGTCAGATAGGCTCAGACAGGTAGATGGGTAATATGGCTAGACAGGTAGGCATGGTGGCTAAAGCGCTGTTTGAGCTCAGGATGGATACACACATGGGTTGGCCTGGCCTGGCATGCATCCAGGGATTCCTGATGCATTGCAGGTGGCACAGCTCATGCCCGTGCCTCCGGGGGCTCCCCGGCCTGCTGGCTATGGAGCCGTGGTGTTGCCGGTGAGGCCTCAATTGGGGGAGGGCCATAGATCAGGATACTCAGATACCCATTCACTCCGAACTTGCAAGGTGCGAGGCCATGCGGCCGCAAGGCTGGCCGGAGGGCTGTCGATTCCACGGGCTGCAGTCCATGAGACTTTGAAGGTTTCGTGGCAGTGCCATCCTTTCGCGTCGAAGCGCTGCGCCAAGCACCAGTAAGCAGCCGCAAAGAAAGTGCAGTGACGTTGTGTCTCTCCAGTGTTCCAGCGTCGAAGCCTCCCGCTTTCACTGAGGCGCCAGCCGCTGCCTCGCCGATGATGAGGCTCCGTGCTACCGAGTGAACGAGAAGAAAACTGCTCGGAAGCGCCGTGCACTTTTAAGGAAAGCTCCCGATGTTCTTTCTGTCACGAGCGGCTGCGCACCGCGACAGGCGCGCGAAAGGGCTCAGGGTCGTGCAAGTCTGGCATGGTCTTGCCGTATACGCCGGGTGTTTGAGTCGTGTTCGGAGGAGGGAGACAAGCTTGGAACAATCCCGCAACCTGAACCGACAGCAACTGCGCTTCAGGCAACTGTTCCGGTGCCCATACAAGTCGCATCTGGATATCAAGGCCGGGACATGAGTTGGACTGAAGTTAGATGTGCATCTTCCCAACTCCCTTCAACTCAATCTCAGAGTAGTGGCCCCAACCCCTCCTCGTGTGCCAGCCCTTCGACCACCAACTGCTCCACGCCGCCCGGCTGTGGCTGTGCCACTGGCACCCCGTGGTGTGGGCCCGGGCCCAGGCCCCCCGAGTTGCCGGTTTCGCGGTTGCGCCAGAATGCGCGTGCGAATCGCAGTGAGATTAGGTTGTTAGAAAGAACTGCAAGCCCTTCCCGAAGCTCTGCCTGCAATCTCCTGGGGAATCGGAAGAGGTGCGACTACCTTTGGTGCGACTTCACCGGTCGCGGCACCCCGAGTGGTGCGAGTGCGAACATCACCGTCGCCACGTCGCGTGGCCCCTTGGTCTTGAACAGAACACCCCTCGAATTTGGAATGATAGTAGTTCTTGACTTGTCAATCTGTGCTTTTTTGGAGCTTCTACTGCTTGTGCTTGTCATTGCTCGGCAAGTGTGACACTTCTGCAATGCAGACTATCGTTCCTGCTTCTCATACTCGTAGCCCAGAGCACGGCCAAGGACATTGCGCCCCATGCAGATGCAATGCGGCTGCCAACACCTGCACGCGCGGTGCAGATCCCCATTGTGCAGTCCTCCACAGCCATCACGGCTTTGTCTCCCGTGCATCGCGCCCGGGTCATTCTTCCTACGGACCGGAGTCCCAAGGCATCTCCGGTGCTCCGGGGCTTCGGCTTTCCTCAGACCGTTGTGACCCGGAAGGCACCCGAAGTCGCCAAGGCAGAGGCGAAGCCCGAGGCCGTGCAGCCCGTGCAGCCCGTTCAGCCCGTTCAGCCCGAAGTCGCGAAGGAAGCTGCGGCCACCAAGAGTGTCGATGCTCCCAAGGAGCCCCTCTCGGTCTCGTCGGACACAGCAAAAGAGGAGAAGGAGGAGAAGGAGATAAAAGAGGCCGCCAAAGAATCCAAGCGGGACGCGCAGGCAGGGCAAGGAGAGCACACGGACTCGCCGGACCTTCTGGGCGACTTTCGCTCCCAAACCTCCACGCAGGCCTCCGAGGTCAAATGTGAATCCCCTCAGATCGCTGGAGTACCGGTACTCGAGGAGGAGGTTCGTAGTGTGCGGCCTTTGCCGCCACGGCCACAGCATGCACCGGACCTCCGTGAAGTGTGCCCCGGCCGAAAACAGTAGGCCATTCTCTGGGTTTGGGCTTCTTTTTCGGGAGTTCAAGGCGCTCGCCAAGTGAATGGTTTCCCTTGTTAAGGATGGCAGAACCCGTCGACGATCCAGTTGGCTTTGCATGGGAGTTCCTGCCGGACAGACATCCAGTCGAGGCCGAATGCAGTCCTGAATATAACCTGGTTTGTTTTATTTCAATAGACATGAGATAGGCCATGATAGGCCCCGACCATCGCGGCCAGCGCTTGGGCAAGGGGCCGAAGGAGTCTGTCAGTGTGAAACGGCAACATCGAACTCAGCATGGCAGCCTAGTGCCATGACTCCGAGACCCTACGGACCCGAGGCGCCTCTGAAGTTCGTCGCTTTTTTTGGCTCCCCGGTCACAGGCCGAGGGCGAGCGGCGCTTCGTCGGCGAGTGCCTCGCGCGTGTCGGGCTCGAGCTTCAGGCCGGGGGGCCTCTTTGGCCCATGTTTTTTTTTTTGTTTGAACGGTTTAGAGGTTATTTGCTGTTTCGGCTGAGTAGGCTTCAGGGATGTGAGTCACATGTCGGATTCGAAGGGTACAGAGTTCACGATGTAAAGTGGCTATGAGAGTGTGTGATGACTCAATATGAGGGCTTCTCCAAAGTCTGGGTCCCGCCAAATTCCGCAGCACGAAAGGCACGTAGCCTGGCACTCTTTGCAAGGTGGCCGGGGGTCTGGCGAGGCCTGGCCGCTGGGTGATTCCGTGGGTCGCTGCCCGGTGCAGGGCCAGGTGCGTTTTTCCGATTCCTTAAATGTGCATTCTCTGCTCCTGAGCCGCTGGGCTCTGCAACGCAATCCAGGTCTCAACACAAAGCGCCAGCAACGGGGCAACGGACATGGAAGTTTATGATATGTGTGGGTGACTCGACGAAGTTCTGACTGTCTTTACGAGCACGTACAGGAAAGATGCAGGGAGTAGTTCCACAATCGCAGACAAAGAAACTAATCTTCTAGCGATTCTAGCGCCTCCCACTCCCGGCCATGGTTTCGCCTGTGCCGTCCGCTGACGCTCTGTCACCCGAGAGACGCTGGCTGTGCCCTGAGCTTAAAGCGCCGTCGTGCAATTTTATCCTCTTGCACCGGCACCATGCAAGTTTCGCGAGTAGGCCGGAGCACCGACATCAACACGGCATCTAGGGTTTTTCATGAAGCCAAGAAACCTATTGTTACACTCCAAGCGTGTTTTCTGCGAGGAGAACCTGTGCGTGGGGAGCCCTAAAGGGCAAATCTTTTCTTCCGGGTCGAATCGCTGGTTTTGTTTAGAAGGTTCAACCGTGTTTGATGTCTTCGAGGGCTTGGGGGCTCCCGGCTCGTCGAGAGTCTTGGGATCGGCGGAGCCTTCCGAGGTCGCCCGAACGGAGTCGCAAGCGATCTTTGTCAGCGACTGGCGGCCTTGGTCTCCCAGGCTTCCCCTCTGCAACCTAAACTCCAGGGCGCAGCCCACCAGAAACAAGTGCCCCCGCATCTCCCATCAACACATTCGTGCCGAGGGGTTCTCATCTGGCACGAGTCTACCAGTTGCTTTCAGTGCAGGGTGACCACTCCCTGTCTGACGTTTTCCTTCCTGGTGACAGCTGCTCCTTGAGCTTCGATTCGAATGTGTGTGCCCCCAACCAGCCGACAGCTACCAGTAGCAAGCAGAATGCTTCAACACGCCAGCTATCGAGTTCAGTGTGTTTCTGCCTCGCAGGAGGACGTGGCGCTGCGAGATGTTGTGGATGCGGAGGCCTCCGAGGAAAACAAGCTCGGTCCCGCCTCCGCCTCCGCCTGCCACCTCGTTGCAAGCGCAGGTGTCCCTGGAGATCTGGAAGGCAGTGCAAGGCCTGGTGCCGGAAACCTTCGAAGGCGCGGCTCTTTGAGGGGTCGGAAAAGAGACGGTTGTCACTTCCGACTTGAAGGCTGCAGCTTGACCGGTCCTCATCCCAAGCTGCGGCTGCTGCAGTGCTCCGGCCCGAATGTGGAGGCCTAGGCCTAGGCGTGCACATGCTGTGACATTTCTGGCTGTGCCACAGGAGGCCAGCATTTTCCGGACTTCGATCTTAAGGAGTTTTGCGGCTTATGTTCATGCAGATGAGGTACCACGGCGAAACTGCTACGGAAGGCCATGGGTGTACGAACAAAGCGCACACTGGAGATGTTGTGTCGTTTAGTGATGACAGGACTGTAGCAGCATGCGGTATTTCGTCTGCGCCAAACAAGATGACCCACGCAGGTGACCATCCCGTTCATGCGGACACTCCATTAGCAGCTCCTGATTCGCGCTTTGGCCTAAGCCTAAGCCATTGCCTGGGCCGTCTCAGCTCGTACCAGAAGCAATATTTGAGGAACTTTCCCCCTTGAACCCCACTCGACGGGAGATGTTGATTATGGACTGCGGCAAGTAGCAGTCAATCTGTCAATCACGCTGAGCCGGTAGTACCTCACAACTCACAGGTTCAAAACCAAGTGAAGACCGCCTGCCTTCATCCGTTCGAATCGCCGAGGTATTCTCGCCTGACTGTCCTCGTGTATGTCGCTTGCCCAGCAGAGCTTTTGCCGCTCCGGGAGCGAGCTTCGATGTGTGAGACGAGCCGGTGCCTTGCAGTCCCCAGACACACCATCGCCATTCTCCCCGTTTCGATCGAAGCACAGCCCAGAGTGATCCGTTTTGTGGTTCCTGAAACCTGCAGCCCTCCCAGCTGCAGCCAGTGTTGGGCAGCAAATCTCTGAGAACAAACACATGACCCACACAGGAGCCCAGACGGTGGGTGGGTCTAGGCCAAGACTACGACTCCTTGGTGGGTGGGTGAAACTGGGTGGGTGAAACTGAGCACCGTAGCTGGGACCTGCGATAAAGCCGGCAATTCTTTAAGGTCAATTCCGGCTTTACCGGTGGACACTTGCGCTTTGTGGATGATGGCGTGGATGTGGAGCCCAGAGAGGGGACGGTCGTGGTCCTTTGGCCTCTGTACTCCTTGGAGGATCTTCTGGAGGGATCTTGGAGCTTTTCGATGGAAGTAGGACCAGGGCCAGGATGCCAGCAAGGGCTCCTGCAAGTAGGTGCCATTGATGTACGGTGCATCATGACGTGAAAGAACAGCCAACACCCAAGACGAGCCGAGATCTTCGACCATGGCCTCTTGCACCAAGCTGCTGCCGTACTCTCTGGGTCCAAGCAAGTCGTGAAGCTCTCTGTGCTGACCCTTGCCGTAGCTCAGTTTGGGGATTCCGAGCTTTGGATTCTCCAAAGACTTCAAGGAAAGTTTCGAAGTCTCAGCATTTTTCGTTTCGAGATGGTTGGGGGTGTTCTTTCGAAGTGAAAGTTCTTGCAGATTCTCTCTTCAATGCTGCTTTCAGGTATGAAGCCGAAGCCGAGACTACCCAGCCCCATCGGACGACGACGGGCGCTGATATGGAAGTCAGGCCTCTCGTCGGACTTGGAAGTAAGACGGAAGGTTTGCGGGATTGCATTCTGCATTCCTTCAGTTCTGCTGTGCAGCCTTCCATGCAGATGCTCTAAATTCTCCAGACTTGCTGAAGTCCGGTGCGAAAGGCAGCACGCGTCCAAAAGACCCGGTGCTTCAGGTGGCCCTTTGTGCTGGCTGCGAGGGCTGTGGCACGTGGCTCCCTTGTGGCCAGTCCGGCTGCTGGACGTAAATAGGTGCGGGGGACTATGTCAGGCATGCTTTGCATGAGCGCAGCAGCGGACGGACTGCTCCTGCACTCAGGAAGTGTGCGACTTCATCACTCGACCAGCTTTGGTTGAGCGTGACTGGGTCTGAGTTTTTGTTTGCGCAATCCGGCACCTCTTCCGCCAAACTATGTGAAATGTGAGCAGGATAGTCCCGTGTTAAGAAGGTCAGCCAAAGTGTCCTGGATCCCATGCAACAGGGCGGGATCCAACAAGAAAGTCTTGGGCACAGTTTCCGCCGAAAGTTTGCCAAGCCGTTTTTTCGCCAGAATGGCGGAGGCGGTGTGCATCAGGTAAGTGGCCTCAAATCAGCACATGGAACGTGGCCACGGATGACCGTGCGACATTCGACGGCCCCACAATGTTCTTCATGCCCTCCATCCCACCCGGAGCGGATAAATGAAAGCTTTCCATGTTTCCGCGTCGGATCCAAGGTACGCTGGGCTTCGTCGGCACGAAGCGCCAAGAGTTGAGTCGACTGGTTGCTGACGCTGGACGTGGGCCGCAAGATGTGCGACGACTGGAGGCGGGACGTGGAGAGATAAGGAGGGATTTTTTGTATGGGGGGGACCGCGGCCAGGAGTTGCTGGACTTCGTCTTGGCTTACGACACGTCGGATCTTGGGGATATCCTGGGAGGCAGTGGCTTCATGGCCATGACCATGAGCTTGGCAACGCCAGCGCTCAGGTTAAAAGCATACAAGGCCTGGGAAGCAGCACGCTGTCTTCACGGTCATGAGACGTGCGTCTTACTGGCCGAGACCTTGCTGAAGGATACTTCCGACCCCGATCCGGAGGTACGGTTGGCTTGTGTGGGTTCTTACTTCTTCCTCATGCCCAACAACCATGAAGAGGTGCGGGCTCAAGCAATCATCAAAGTCCTGGAGCAGGAGGAGGACCCCGCAGTGCGTCACCGGGCCGTGCAGGGCATCGCCAACTTAGTACAGGCCGCCAAGCAAAGCGCGAAGGATGCGGAGGGGGAGGATGGGTCGGCGAGGCGCCTCGTGACACTCCGGGAAAGCTATGCAGAGGCTTTGAGGAAGATCCTGCCATCCGCATCCGCCGCATCCGCATCTTTCTCTTCCGCGTCCTCTTCCTCGGAAGCGTCTCTGGCCCTCCGTGCCCTCGCAGAGCTGGCCATGAGCGAAGAGACGCCGCTCACGTGAGCTGGGCGGAGCTCCCGTGCCCGTGTCCTCCCGTGTCCTCCTGTTTGGGGGCTGGTCTTGCGCCGGTTGCAGCTCAACTCGTTGGAGATGGCCGTGGCTGATGCGTTCACCCGGTTTCACCCTCGTAGAGGGTTGCTGTCCAATTCCCGGTGGATCCGTCGGGGCCTGTACAGGTGGCACGGTGCAGATCCCCATGCTGCAAGCCTGCGTGATCAAAAGGGGCTCGGAGCCTTCCCGCGACCATTGCCGGTGCTTGCCCCTGCTTTGGAGGTATGTGCAGAAGAGAGAGGACTTGACGCAGCTCCACTGCCGACTTGAGGAGCCAACGAGTAAGTGGAGTGGGGATAGTTATGCGAGGCTTTCGGCATACCACCGACTTGCAGGGTCGATGTAGTTACCGGATGAACGGCAGCTCACTGGAAAGGCCTCGGAAACCGAGAACATCCCGCTCCAGGTCCTGCGCGTGGTGCTCGAGGCCGGTCCCCGTAACTCAAGCTGAAAGAGAAGTCTCTGTGGGAGCGGCAGCTCCTGCGCACGAGGCTCTGTCGCGCTCTGTCATGGGTCTTATGATTCTAACGCGGCAAGTCTGAAGCTTTCGGCAACCTTCCAAACGTGCAGCCCTTGCAGGAGACGCTGCAGGAAAGAGTTCGACGGGGTGGACAAGGCAGGCAGCTGTCAGGGTTTCCGGATGGGGACGGCCTTGGCCAAGCAGGCATTTTCGTGCAAGCTGGAGTGATGATGTCCATGGGCAACAAGAAGGTGGTGAAGATCGCATGCAGGCCTCCCTACTATTGCATCCCATTGAGATTGACCGTAGTTTTCCTGCTTCGAGACCTGTGCTTCCCCTGCTTGCAGTTGCGACGGCAGTGAGGGCCACCTGTCAGTATGTTGGGATTGGGATGTCAAGCTTGAGCCAAAGTGCGACCCCTAGCCTATGCAGCATCGCAGTTCCATAGCTGCTATAGCGTGGCCTGCGGCATTCCTCAATTTCGTAACATTGATGCTTCATGTGAAAACCGCGACGGCTGCCGAACCATGAGTGCAAACAGTCACTTCATGTTTCCTGAGTTAACAGACCTCTTTGAAATAGCACTGCGTGCCAAAGCGGTGGTGCAGCATGCTGGCAAGCAGCATGTACAGCCTGCGAAGCATGCACAAATTCAGTCGATTCCCGCTGCAGTGCAGAGGGTGACTGGAAGGGGGCTAGAGAGGACAGATAGATGTCATCAACAAGTTGATTCCGTTTCTATTCTGCGCATGCCTCCTTGTGGTCCGTTTATGGGGTTAATTCATCCGAGCCCCCGGCTTCATGGCTTCATGCCCAGCAACCTGGCTAGCTGACCACAGAGCTTGCCAGCCGCACCATGAAACGCATATCGATCAGCTGGAGCCTTTGCCGGGAGCAGTGGATGTAATGTGCGGGCGTCTGCACGGAAGCTAAATATCCCGGGTTAAGGATGAATCTAGCAGCTGCCAAGCATCTCGGCCACGTGGAACTTCAGAGACTGCTGTCCATCGCCACATGATCATGTCAAGCCGACAGCACTATTGTGCAAGTCTCCCAGACAAGACTTCCTAAATTCCCCCGCGTCGCCCAGCTTAATCATCCCTGATAATCCGTTTCGGCAAGTGTCCCGCACTCCAAGACACACCATTGAATCTGAAGCTCGAAGTTCACGCACAGTGGCTGCGTGCGCCGGACGACATGAAATGGCATTGCGCTGCGCTGGCGCTGCTGCCCGCCGTCGTCGAATCTGCCGACAAGGTGAACTTTACCATCGAGGTCCAGCTCATAAAGAGCTATGTTGAAACTTGCACGGCTGAGGACATCTGACGGTTTCTGCCACTTTTGAAACGAATGAGATTGCTGTGTTCCTGCGGGCTGTTGAGTCTTTCGAAATCCTTCCCGCTCATACAAGCTCCGTACCTTTCACTGCCCACGTTTCGAATGCCATCATGCATACAGTGCTCTTTGCAGCGTTGTTCATTCAGGTCAAACAGAAGCTCGTGCCTCTTTCATGGGATCCCTCCGTGGAAAGTGCGATGGTTGCCGCACGAAGGCAGGCAAGCCACTGTTGTACAATTGTGAGGGGGCGATCTCCTGATGCATTGTGGGCCACGCTGCAGGTTCGCGTCGCAGCACGACCTTCAAGCAGGAAGCCACGTGAATGAACTATGGACCAGGGCTGAACTGAATGCTGCGAAGTGTTGCCTCGTCGAGCAACCATGCACACTCTGCAACTCCTCGCGAAGACATCCTTGCAGAGAGCTTCCTTGACTCCGTGACCATCCTTGACCATAGGAGCCTCTGCCCTTGTTTGCAGACGACATCTGAGGCGTATGGGCATTGGCCGAGGATTCCGTCTTGATCCCTGCGCATGCGTACATGTTGGTAGGTGCAAGCATGACTACTGGATGTGGCTGCCCGAAGGAGATGGGCTTGAACCGTGCTTGGGCGGCCGCGAAACATCGGCAGTCACCGGAGGTGACACTTGGAAGCGCCCAAGGGAAGGGACTCTTTGGGGGAGATGTGGGTGTCGGGCCCACCTGACCTGCCGTCGATTTCAGCTGTCGCTCCAAGGACAGAGATGCCGGTGCACGTTGGAAGCCGAGTGCGTTCGCCCGAACTGCCAACAGGACTGCGGGGGCCGGGGCTCTCTCTTCCCTCGGAGAAAGCTATGCAAGGAGCTCTGGATTGCGCACTTCCTTTACTCGTGTACTGTGCTCTACTCTATCTACTGTCCAGAGGGCCGTATGAAGAAGGGAGATTCTACTCACCTGACTCGCGTCGATGATCCAAAATCGCTACATTGCCCGCACCCAGAACCCAAATGACGCTATCGGAAAGCCTCCGACAGCGTCAGATCGAAAGACCCACACCATGTAGAACTTGTGTCGATCAGGCTGCTAAGGAGATGAAGCGACAAGGATCTCAGTGTCCTGAAATGGTGGATGGGATCGTCGATTCGAAAGATACAGTGCCGGGAGAGCCTGAGGGGGTCAAAGCACTTCGTCATACTGAGGAACATGAGGGGATGCCACCCTTGCTAAGTTAGGAGATGCGGACTCTCCGTGCTCTCGGTTTTGTGAATTGCAGATGTGTTCGCATTGTACATGAGCAGGTGACAAAAATACACCGATGACATGTTGGGCGTATCACACGTCGCGGATTAGCGGCGTGCGAACGCCGCGCTAGTTTTTTTGGCTGCATTTGACACTGGTTGGGCCATGTGAAGAAGGCAGTGCCGCGTGGAGGGGTGGGGGGGCCTGTGAAGCGTTGCGGGGTCATGGGCCGCTGTGAATCACCCACCTCACATTGCAGGCATCGCTTCCACCAAGAAGCAGCTCTCACAAAGCCATCATAAAAACCGTCAAAACTCCTTCAAACTCTCAACCAGCCTGAGCCTTCTAAGCCCTGCACAAGATCACGCCCGAGACTCGAGTCAAGTTTGAAAACGTTGCTGGTATCGATGACGTGCAACAATGCAGTCGTGATATTTCGTGATCTGTGTTGCTTGTTCCGAGCTCTTCGATGGCAGGGCAGTCCGTCATCTCTCTTTACTTGGGCCACGACTCGGGCAACGTGGCTTCACAACGAGCATGGCACAGGTGTATGTGTGCTGCCACCTTTTGATGCCTCACGAAAGCTGACGCGTTACGTTCTTCTCACAGCTCAGGGTTCTATTCTCTCTGAACTCCCATGAAGACTTGAGGTATCACTGTCAGTCAATACGGCCGCATCCAGTGTGTCCTCGAGTTGGAAAGATATTTCAATATCAGATATTTCCGACCCAATGTCAGCTCACCAGCTGACAAATATCAGGGGGAATGGCACAAAGCGCTTCGTGCCGTGGAGAAGCACTGCGAGTATGACGATGGGCAAAAGCCCTCTCATTTCACCGATGGCGTTATCGTCTTTGCCGGGGACTTCGAGTGTTACCAACTTTGGCTACGGGGTGTTGTGACTATGATATTCACTGTGGAGCGATGGCATATGGTCGACCATCATGAGGCACATGCTCTCCTGGGCTACTATTCTTCTCCTTTCCACTCCAATCCCTCTCGAACTACCATGGTACTGTCCTATGACTCTGCCGGCAACGATGGATCTTTTAATGTGTATGTGGCGTCGAAGGGGAAGTTAGAGCGCATTGCGCAGCTGGCGTATTCCCTCGGGAATGCATACGACATAGTTGGCGTTCTGATGCCCGAAGTGTCAGGCCATCCCCTCACGGATTTTGTGGACTGCAACGACACTGACGTCCTGAACACCTCGTCGGACGCGAAGGTGATACGGGTGGGTACCTTCCACGAGAAGGCTTATCAGAAGCTGAGTTGGGCAGGGAAGCTGATGGGCTACTCTGCTGTTGGCGAAGTTCGTGAGGACCTGCGCGAGTCCATGCGATTCCTGCTCGAGGAATGTCGTTCCTTCATTCCGGGTGGTATGGGTTTGCCACTACCCATCGTGCGGGCTGCCTGCGAGTCTCTGGATGGCCAAAGGGCCGTCGCGGCGACGATGCAGTCGGAATTCGAGGAGTTCTTTCTCAGCCGCTTGGAGGCCTTCCTGCGCTTCTTGGGGTGCCTTGGCGGCCTGCACCAGGCATAGAAAGCAAAGCAGAGCAGAAGCTGCTTGCGACTGAGGCCCGGGAAGGTTGACAGCATAGTTCTCAGTGGTGGTTGCGCTCTCAATGTGTTGACCAACCAGGTATCCAGGCGGCACTCAGCACGCGAGCAGAAATCTGTCTTTGCATAGGAGCACCTACTCGAGCCTGAGGTCGTGCACGACAAGTTGTCGTCGGGCAAGACTGGCTCTTCGGCCTTGTTTTTGCAAATGCCGTTGTCGGCGTTGCAGAGTGCTGAGCTGAGTGAGCTGAGGCGGTGTGAAAGGTCGCGATCCAGACTTCTTCGTTCCGATGGCACCCAACGACAGCGGTCCCTGGCCTTGGACGAAAAGCTCGGGCAGAGTTGCACCGCAGCTCCCGCACTCACTGGTAGCATTCTTTCCCGTCTGCATGTAGCTTGGTTATGGACATGTGCTGACACACAGACACATACGTACATGTTGACATATGCAGATATACAGATAGATATTTGTATGCTACACTTTCATGCATACATGCATGCCTACCTTCCTGCCTTCCTGTCTTCCTGTCTTCCCATACCTACCTACCTACCTACCTACCTACCTACCTACCTACCTACCTGCCTACCTGCCTGCCTGCCTGCCTGCCTGCCTGCATCCATGAATCCATCCATCCATCCATCCATCCATCCATCTATCTATCTATCTATCTATCTATCTGTCTATCTACCTAGCCACCTACCTGTCTATTCATCCATCCATCCATCCATTCATTTATTCATCCATCCATCCACCCATAA